GTGGTGTGGGGCAGCGCTTTGTACCTGGGTTGACATCACAGACCTGTTGCTTCTATCCTGAAGAAAGACGAATTCCTAGAACACAACACCCTGTGTTTAAAAACGTTAAGTGCTAATACAGTGAAATATTTATTAATCCAAATCTAGTCCAAAAACCTACTACTGTGTCTTCCTAATCAATACACATTCAAAAAGTCACTTTGGCTTTGCTTGAAGTAAATTTGTGTCGAGGTCATTTGTAAAAGAACCACATTTTCCAATGGATTCTTTCAACTTTCAAACTTTGAAGGTAGAAATGACAGGAGATGCGAAGAACGTTTTCAGTCAGGAAAATGATTATACAATGCACGGCCAGGGTGGATTTCCTGGTAGATACGATCAGATCTTTGCACATAGAAATGGAATCTGGATGTCACCAGTCTATGGATGCAAGTCTTACCACAACCAAAGGGGAAATGTATGCTAAATAGGAAAATGTGCAGATTAATTTGCTGTGGACTTCAAATCCTTTTAGGGAATTAAATGATTAACACAACAACAATTAACAATTAATGCCCCTGTCCACAGAGCATTGGTCTAATGTGTCTTCTAGTGTTTCAAGTGCTGATGCCTTTGATGAATTACAATGACTATCTGTCTTGACAAATCGTTCTATTAATATTTAATCATTTCATAAGTGGTTTCTTTGAAGTACTAAGCTAATCAATAAGGGGAATTCTCAAGAATCCCACTGCTGAAAGTATTTGCTCCAATAACATTCAGCCATAGCGATCAACCCGGAAGGCAGGCAGGTTCGTTTCCATGGTGCAGGGNATAACATTCAGCCATAGCGATCAACCCGGAAGGCAGGCAGGTTCGTTTCCATGGTGCAGGGTGGCTGGGCTCTGGGCTCGACCATGCCCCTGAGGTGGGCAGAATCCCGAGATTGCCCCACGTTGCTCTACCCCGCCCCTCAGTACATGCCGTGCCTCATTCCCACATCTGTGAAAATGAGTAGATAGGGCTTCTGTGGTCACTCTGTGTGGTAGGGCACAAATGACCTCCAGATGGGGAGTGTCTCTGGAGGGCCCACTGAACATTAAAGGCTGGCACAGAGGAGAGATTAAGAGTTGGGGGCACAGGAAACCATTTCGGATATGGAGATGAGGGCCTCACAGCATCTGGGAATGTGGGGGGCTCCCAGGAGCTACAACCACAGCCGGTGGCCATCAAGGAACTGGGAGCCTCAGTCTTACTGTTATCGGAGGAGAGGATCTGGGGAGGGGAGACACCTGACCTCCACCCTGTCCCCTACCAGGTTCTTAACTCTGCCAAAGGAAAGAATTCAAGAGCAGGGTCAGAGTAGAAAGCAAAAGCAAGTTTAATGTGAAGAGTAAGGGACACACACCTCACAGGCAAAGTGTGGGCCGGCTGGAAGGCGAGCAGCAGCCTCACGGTGGCGCTGGGCTCCACTGTTATAGCTGGCTGTCCATACGTCGTCGCGCTAGCTGTGAATGTTTAACTAAGGCGGCAGCTCCTGGTTATGTGACTCTTACTGTAACTCCAGCCTCGCACATGCTCTGTCTGTTCCTTTTGGTGCCTGCACAGTGGTCAAATTCCAGCATATTCTAATATCAAATTCTAGCTCCTCTAGTGGAAGCTCATTTAAGGACAAGCTCCTTTCTACGGAGCATGCCCAACCACTGAAATTGCTCAAACTTGCCTCCTGCAGTCTCAATCTTCCCCCGTTGGGCTTGAAAATAGGTGCAGCATTAACAGTAACTCTCTTCTGGTTCAGGGCCCAGGGGAAGGGTCTGAGCTCTATGGGAGTGGTTTGAGACTCAGAGGAGTGGCCTGAGACCAAGACTCTGGGAAACCGAGCACCTCCTGTCTCACTATGACCCCAGAACTGGATTCTGACAACAATGAGGATGAGCCTGGAAGTTATTTCCCCCAAAGGCTCTAAGAACCCAGCTGCTGCCACCTCAACTCCAGCCTGGTGACATCTGTGCCGAGGCCTCAGCCCAGGCTGATGTTGTATCCTGCAGAGCCCACAGCTGATATGCAGTGTGGCTCAGCTGTCATGTGTGTGGAAACTTGTTGTGTAGCAAAAGAAGCTATCACAGCCCGTCATTTTCTCTGGGCCCTCAGTTCCTCCCTTAGGTGTAAATAGAGACTATGAGGTGTCCTGACTTCACTGTCATCACTTTTAGACATGGACTGGACACAGAGATGGGTTTGGATATGGCATGGGTTCCAGAAAGTCCATCTCCTGCCTCTCTTTGCTCTGGCAGTTGTGAAATAAGGGAAATGACCCCACTGCTAGGGTAGAAGGCTGTGTTCAGAATCCAGTTCTGTCACTCAGCTTTCCTTTTTCCAAGTGGGGATGAGACTAGTTGCAGATGGGATTGCCATGGAACTAGTGGGAGTGACACGTGTAGATGAGGGTGAATCCTTGGCTTTGTGGCTCTGGTGGCCCCTGTGGGCTCAGTGGGCCTGGCTTTCTCTCCAGCCAGTGCTCACCACAGCTCTGGAAGCACTGGGTCCAAGCCTTGCTGAGCAGAGGAACATCTGATATGTCCCCAGGGCTGTCTGAGAAGGTCACGCCACAGGCTGGCTCCTCGGTGGTCATTACACTGCAGCGTCCCAGGAAGAAACCCTCTTTCCTCATGTTGGAAAACAACATATCTAAGGGCAGTCATCAGACGTGTTCAGGAAGGCGTTCCCTGTACTAGCGACCTTCACCAAAAACAGGTACAACATAGAAATCCCTATTCCACGTCATGGGCTTCACAGACGTGGTACCATTAGGGTGTCAATCAACCGTTTGTGTGATGAGATTATCCTGATTTTCCAGAGGAAGAAGCTAAGGTTCAGAAAAATGATGCAGTATCTATGAGCTTTCACAGTCAGACCAGGCTTCCCACTGTTCCGTGCCTGCTGTGGGGACCCAGGAGAAGCTCAGGTTTGGTGGGGACAGAGGTAGGGTTTTGTCAACAGACCCATCTGTGGGGAGGGGAGAGGAAGGCGTTAGTGATCTGTCAGTCATTGAGAGCTTGGGTCCGGGATTCCTGAGACATTTTAGTATTAAGGGAGGAAAAAAACCCTCAAAAAACAAAATGAAACAAACAAAAAAACCCTTTATTTATTCCCGGGCATGCCACGTGAAGTGTATTAAAGATGTTTTTAAGCATCTTTAAGCATCATCATTAAGAATTATAATGAAGTGTTTAGACTTTTCTTCTGGAACCTTTGCTAATATTNCTCAGTGGGCCTGGCTTTCTCTCCAGCCAGTGCTCACCACAGCTCTGGAAGCACTGGGTCCCAGCCTTGCTGAGCAGAGGAACATCTGATATGTCCCCAGGGCTGTCTGAGAAGGTCACGCCACAGGCTGGCTCCTCAGTGGTCATTACACTGCAGCGTCCCAGGAAGAAACCCTCTTTTCTCATGTTGGAAAACAACATATCTAAGGGCAGTCATCAGACGTGTTCAGGAAGGTGTTCCCTGTACTAGCGACCTTCAACAAAAACGGGTACAACATAGAAATCCCTATTCCACGTCATGTGCTTCACAGACGTGGTACCATTAGGGTGTCAATCAACCATTTGTGTGATGAGATTATCCTGATTTTCCAGAGGAAGAGGCTAAGGTTCAGAAAAGTGATGCAGTATCTATGAGCTTTCACAGTCAGACCAGGCTTCCCACTGTTCCGTGCCTGCTGTGGGGACCCAGGAGAAGCTCAGGTTTGGTGGGGACAGAGGTAGGGTTTTGTCAACAGACCCATCTGTGAGGAGGGGAGAGGAAGGCGTGAGTGATCTGTCAGTCATTGAGAGCTTGGGTCAGGGATTCCTGAGACATTTTAGTATTAAGGGAGGAAAAAAACCCTCAAAAAACAAAATGAAACAAAGAAAAAAACCCTTTATTTATTCCCGGGCATGCCATGTGAAGTGTATTAAAGATGTTTTTAAGCATCTTTAAGTATCATCATTAAGAATTATAATGAAGTGTTTAGACTTTTCTTCTGGAACCTTTGCTAATATTNATCATCATTAAGAATTATAATGAAGTGTTTAGACTTTTCTTCTGGAACCTTTGCTAATATTGTAAGAAATGCTCTGTTGAACTAAAACACCCCATGCTCCTTCTTAATGGTTTTGCAGGGTCCTGGGCTTTCTGACCAGAATTGAACCTTAAATGCACCTGCGTGCCCTCGTCTGTACTGCCCCAGACCTGATGCAGGTTTCTTTGACTTTTAAGGGCTACACCAAGAACTCTTTTCCTCTCTTTATCTGTGCCCGCTCAGCAGATGCGCACAGCTGTTTGATTGTGGGACTAAGCGTGGTATTTACTTGTCTTGTTATCTCTCCTGAACAGTTTACCTAAGGTGGAAACACTGTGAGACGCCAGCTGTTAAGAGTCTGTGCAATCTAAGGAAGCTTCTGAACAGACTCCAGAAGGACCACAGAGAAGATATCTGTCTTTACACCTCTGGACACCTGAATCCCAACAAGCTCTACCGGCCTCCTGAGACAATCTTGTGTCACTGGCGCAACGCCCACAGGCCAAAGGGGGAAGACATCCTCGGAGTGAGGAAGCCGCCCGATAGGAATGTTGCAAAGATGAAGGATGCTTTGGCTTATTTCACCATCAACACAGCTCTGATTCCGAACGATGCCCAGAACACACGTCTGTTCAGGAACCTGCACCCCCAGACACATGCTTTCCACACTTCAGAAGGGTATCTCGTGCCCAGGAAGGTTCCCAAAGAGGAGAAGGAGGAAATGAGCGAGAGCGCTCTGGCTCGGCACGGGTGCGAGCTCAGGCTGCCCGAGCTGAGGGTGCTGAGGAGCAAACAGGTGGGCTCCAGTCGCCAGTGTGCCGGCTGTCCCCCAGGCAGGGACGAATACCAGTATATCAGCTCGTACTTAGCTGGCGTGACGAACGCGGACAGGTATAAGAAGTTCATGAGTTTCCAAAAGGAAGTTCTTGCAAAGCAAGATCTCCTGAAGAATGACTTCACCGGGAGCAAGGCAGCGGCAGGCCATGAAAAGAAGCTGGAACAGGTGAGGATTTTGCAACACCATCAAGGTGGCTCGGGTGCAAGGAGTCCAGCTACTGTGGGCAGAGGCTCATCCTCAGATACCCCAGTTACATTTCCAGGTAGAATGTAACAAAGGTGCCAGTTGCTGAGGATATTTGACATGGTGTCAAGCTAGGGCTAGGGCTCACAGACCCCTCAAGCCCATTGTACAGACTGGGTCACGAACCCTTCACATGCATGTCCACGAGCTAGGTAATAGGAAAAGATCCTGGGAGCCATGGGTAAAAAATTAATAGGCTTTATTCAGAGCTAGGAATGGCCTAGTGGCCTCCCAGTGTGTCCTGAGAAGAGCTATGTATCAGAGCCATCAGTTCTTATACTTAGTTCCATGCCCCAGGGCACCTGGCTGCCCCTACACAATTACATCAGATAGTAACCAAGGCACACCTGGGCGCACGTGCATATTAACATCAAATGATCAGCACGATTCTGAACATCTGAGGGGCCCTGACCGTTTTCCTATATTTTCCCTACACATGGTCAGTAGATGATGACAGTTAGGGTGGAAAGAAAGGCTAAATTTGGAAATTGGTAATTTGGAGGCGAGTTGCTAATTGAAAGCGTTAGCAGCTATGTGGCTACGTGGCAGCTGTAGTAAACAACACATTTGCAGGGCAGCAGGAGGATGTGAGGAGAGGTTCGCCTACCTCTTCACGGAAGGTAGGAGGCTGGCGGTTCCGTCATGCAGGTGGGGCCGGCCCGGGCCTCCAGCCTCTGCAGATCGGCTGTGCTAGTGTGCGGGGAACTTCCAGGGGCTGTGCGCAGAGCACACTGACTGACTGCCGACTGCGTCGTAAGGGTGAGGATGCAGGAGAGAGAAGAAAATAGCGGTCTACACGGGAAATCACCAGACCTGGAGGTCTTTGGCTGAAGGGACCTATGGAAAAGAGAAAGGGCCTTGGGATACATTGGAGGCCGAGAGAACACCCTCGAATACAAAACATAGGGGAGTGAATAAAGAAACAAAGGACAGAAGAAGTCCTGGGTGACCAGGTGTATTAGTCAGGGTTCTCCAGAGAGACAGGATCAATAGGATATGTTATAATTATATGAGAGGGATTTATTAGAGGAATGTGCCGGAGACCAGCTCCAGTCGAGTTTGCAAGTCCTTGAAAGAGGGATGAGGAAGCCGGCGGAAAAAAAAACACAGAGACCTCAGTGCATCAGTATGCACGTTCTCTCTCTGCGGGCTGTCAGCGTGTTGCAG